TGTGATAGTTCGGTGATGTTTCCCCTTCTTCAAATCTTGAGTTTTCACTGATTTGGGTGCTTGGGTAAGTTGCGATTCACCTTGTGATAGTTCGGCGATGATTTTCCTTCATAGACTGCTTCAAATCTTGAGTTTTCACTGATTTGGGTACTTGGGTAAGTTGCGATTCACCTTGTGATAATTCGGTGATGTTTCCTCTTCATAGGTTGTTTCAAAGCTTGTGTTTTCACAGATTTGGGGACCTTTGTAAGTTGCGATTCACCTTGTGATAGTTCGGTGATGTTTCTTCTTTATAGATTGCTTCAAAGCTTGTGTTTTCACTGCTTTAAGGGCTTTGATGAGTTGCGATTCACCTTGTGATAGTCCGGTGATGTTTCCTCTTCACAGATTGCTTCAAATCTTAAGTTTTCACTGATTTAGGTACTTGGGTAAGTTGCGATTCATCTTGTGATAGTTCGGTGAATTCTCCCCTTGGGTTGATACATCAAGTCTTGAATTTTCACTGACTTTGATGCATGTCTAAATTGCGAATTGCCTTGGGATGCTTCGGTGAACTTTCCGCTAGGTTAGATGCTCTCAAATTTGTGCCCTCGCTGACTTTGATGCATGTCTAAGTTGCGAATTACCTTGGCATGCTTCGGTGGACTTTCCGCTGGATTAAGGTGCTCCCAAAAGTTGTGCAGTCCATCTTTACCCCTTGTTGTTCCCAGTAACATGAGTTGTGTGTATGTGTGAGTGTTGCAGTCCCCGGTAACTTGTGTCGTCCATCCTTACCCCCTGTTGTACCCAATAACATGCGGTGTGTGTATGTGTGAGTGCTGCAGTCCCCGGTAACTTGTGCAGTCAATCTTTACCCCCTGCTGTACCCAGTAACATTCGGTGTGTGTATGTGTGAGTGCTGCAGTCCCTGGTAACTTGTGCGGTCCATTTTTACCCCCTGCTGTATGCAGTAACATTCGGTGTGTGTATGAGTGAGTGTCGCAGTCCCTGGTAACTTGTGCAGTTCATCCTTAGCCCCTACTGTACCCAGTAACATGCGGTGTGTGTATGTGTGAGTGCTGCAGTCCCCAGCAACTTGTGCAGTCCATCTTTACCCCCTGCTGTACCAAGTAACATTCGGAATGTGTATGTGTGAGTGTTGCAGTCCCCGGTAACTTGTGCAGTCCATCCTTACCCCCCTGATGTACTCAGTAACATGCGGTGTGTGTATGTGTGAGTGTTGCAGTCCCCGGTAACCT